TTTTTTTTTGATCAAGTTAATTTTTTTTGTTCAATGTATTCTTGATTTAAAAATAAATTTCTTCATTCAAAATGCCAAAAAAAAAAAATCTAATTCAGAAATTATTCTAAAACTTATTTATTAAAAATAAATGTACAATATAACAGAATTTTGGTAATTGTTACACTGACAAAAAAATTAACTTGACTCAAGAAAATCATTTTGAAGAAAATTCTTGAGACAACAATAATTTATTTAATGTAAAAGAGCCAATTATTGACACTGGCCTAATTTTTGGACATTTGCAATTTTATTCTAATTAAAAAAAACAAAATGTTCTCAAAAAAAAAGTAATCTTAAAATTTATAATTCAAAAATTATGTTTATTAATTTATCAAAGTAAAAAATAAAAAAGTTTACTCAGTAAAAAATTTTGCGTCAAAAAATTTTGTGTTAAAAATTTTTATGTTTAATATTTAACACTTTTTTGTGTTAATTAAACACAACAAATGTAAAATTTACATATAAAAGTGTTAAATATTTAACAAAAAATTTTTTGACGCAATGACGCAAAAATTTTACTGTGTAAAAATTAATTCTACTATGTTTTATTGGAAGAAATATATTTCACCTTGTTTAAAAATATTAAATTGCTTCGTTATAATTAGTAAAATTTTTAAATAAAGAATTTTTGATATATCTTCTTTGTTTGAATTCTCTTGAATTGATTCATGAATTTCTCAAATTAATTCAAACTGAAAATTTCAGAGTAAGAATAAATTTTTTCTAAAAATACTTTTCTTGAATTAAGTACATTTTTCATGTTACATTATTTTTGTTCGACCTAATATTATCTTGACAAATTAAAAAAATAATTAATTTTGCTCCAATTTAATAAAAAAAAATTTTTAATATCTAACTAAAATTATTATAATAAAATTACAATAACAAATAATAAAACAATACAATTCAATTACGTTAACAAGTGAACAATAAATAACTAATAAAAAATCATTGTAAAGTATTGAGTGGAGTATTAGTTGAAAATTATCTGGATTGTATCTCGCTAATTTATTGACGAAGTTTCGATTTACAAATTAATGTAAAGCAAGAGATCTCAAGACCTATTACCGATTCCGAGTACTTTGCATATTCTACAGTTGTAAATTTGCGATATATTACTATGTAAGCTGTGAAGGTACATATATCCATCACTTACATATAAAGAATCAAGAATAAATGGCAAAATGAAGCGTCTTTACACTCAACGACAATTGTCGATCGATTTATCGCATGTACGCTCTAACATTTACCTCGGCGACATACCGCTTGAGATATAAATGTAAGAGTAATTAAATCGACGTTAAAAGAAGTATAACGATCGTCAAAGTACTCATATATTTATTTTTAATTTTTAATTTATATATGTGACAATTGCAGTTAAAAAGTCATTTGACATTTAGAAGTATATATACACTTCATATTTGAGACTTCAGGTGTTAAATAACTTTAAAAAGTAAATTGATAAAATTTAATTTAGTTTATCGAATAATTTTCAGATGAACGACTTATCCTGTTTAATAAAAAATATAATACCACGCCGTCGACATGTTACTTTCAACTTCGTTGTATTATATCAATTGAATCTTCGAGAGAACTCGAGTTTAAATGAATAATTTATTTATGTATAAAGCGGATAAAATCCGACATTCAATGTTTAAGTGAAGATTACATTTTTAGACGCGTGGATTTATCTATTACCGATTCTTCTCCTACTGCAGTAATATACATTACACTTTATCGTGTATAATATGATGTATATCCGTAGGTTAATTCCAGAACTTGTTCAATGTTCCATCTTTGATATAATAGTCAAACGATGACCTGAATGAAACGGGGATTTTTTTATAGAAGACATATCAATTAAACTTTAAATATTCAACGTTTAATAATTGCTGGATTTATATTACTCTTATCTCTTGTTGGATCCGAATGTATGGAGCTTTGTTATATTTAATAGGTACCTGATTTATTATTTACTGCGGATGTGCAGATTATTGACGTTTTAATGTTTTTTAATTGATACTATTATTTATTATTTAAATTTATAAGTAACGAGATATTGGATGTACGTCCAAGATAGTCATATCATTCACACCGATATTCAATTTATTGTGATAAGTATTTAGGCTGCATTCGAAAATGATCTATCTCTAGATACATAATTAAGAAATGACCTTGTATCTTGTGAACTATTGACATTTTTAAAGATATAAGCTCACCCCGACATTACACTTATCGAGACCTTTCATTTGAGTACCCACATCAATTTTTCATATATTTATATATATTTTATATATGAATATATGAAAAATATATCAAAATGCATGTGGGTACTCAAATGAAAGCTCTTGCTGAGTGTAACATCGGGATGAGCTTATATCTTTAAAAACGTCAATATTTAAGAAAGTACAGTGCAATTTAACATATTAGAATTACCTTTATCTGTAGTAAATATTGACATTTTTAAAGATATAAGCTCACCCCGACATTACACTTATCGAGACCTTTCATTTGAGTACCCACATCAATTTTTCATATATTTATATATATTACATCTATGTATATATGAAAAATATATCAAAAATGCATGTGGGTATTCAAATGAAAGCTCTTGCTGAGTGTAACATCGGGATGGGCTTATATCTTTAAAAACGTCAATATTTAAGAAAGTACAGTGCAATTTAACAAAAGTCATTGTTTAATAATGCAAAATTTTATTTATTTATAGTTCACAAGTCACGGCAATCACATAGTGACTACAATATTGCTAGTTATCATTATTATAATAATAATAAATTATTGAATAACGATTTCTTCTTATAAAAATTTTCTTCTACATTTAAAAAAAAATTTTTTTGTGATTTAATCATCAAATTTTTTCACAAAAATTTATAAAACTAAAGTTATTATTATTATTATTGATTTCAACATTCAGGATGGTAATTCGGATTTTTTGACTTTACTCATTTGCGGGGACGTTAAGTGATCCTCCCATGTCATGTCCAAGGCGATAGGGTCTTTTGCTATTTGGGAAAGACCAGCGGTAAAAAACGGGCAGATGTTTGCCGATTTGTCAGTTCATGAATGTTTAATGAAAGTTTGTAAAAAAAATTTGAAAAATGGTGACCTTGCAGGTTACGCGGTTACGTAAAACTTCCCACTATTTACTTTCTCAAATTGAACAAAAAAAAAAACTAACTAAAAGTTTCATATCATTATAAATGAACTAAATAAAAATTATTTAAACCAATTTCTCAAATTTAAAAACAATATAAATTTTTTAATAATTATTCTTCTAAAGAAAACTATTTACATTTCTTCTCTGTACAATTTAAAGAATCTTAGTGAAAAATAAACTATTTAGGGTTTAGTTTTTAGAATGACGAAATTTGAGTAGTTTTAAGGAAATAGTAATTCATTTTTTAGATACTAAATCGATTATCAGTAACGACCAGACGATGACCTTATTTTTTAAAATAACTTATATTAGATAGAGTTAGAAACTCTATCGGACTTTTTACTATTAATCTATCCGTTCAGAATGACTCTGTAGCATAAAATATAGTGTTAAATTGAATATTAATGTTAAAGTGCCCGATCTCTACAGCGGAAGTAATTAATGATGACACGAAGTTTAATTGTGAAATGGATTTAATATCTAATTTTAGTGAACTAATACACACAGAATCGCGGTTAAAGTCGAGATGTTTTATCTCCTTGTTTCTGAACGGAAATTCGATAATAATATAATTAGCTTCATTAGATCTCAGAGATGAGACATTTAATTCTTTTTTTTGATTAGCGAATATGGGTCATACTTAAAGCTTTTATTAATCAGAATTTAATCATTTTATTGTGGAATAATTACTCAAAAATCTTGGAAGAAGAATAATTATTAATTATGATAAAAAATTGAGTTTTAATATCATATTTCTTCAATAAGAAATTCAAGGTATTACATTTTTTATTCAATTAAATCTGAGAAGTTAATTTTCGGGTACTTTAATTTGATTTTAATAATTTTTATCGTTAAAAACAATTTATTCGCGATAATTTTTATAATTCTTCTTCAGTGTTAATTAAAAAAGTCAAGCTTTGAAATTAGACATTTTATCAGAATAATATTAAATATGTCATTTAATGATATTTAATCATTGAGATATTAAAAAAAATTTATTACATTGAGAAATTTCTTTACAAAAAATTGTTCTATTGATTTTATTGAAATTTAATCATTTTTTTCAATTTTAAAGTATTGAAATTGCCTTTTTTAACTGGACAAAAAAATTTAATAATAATAATCATAAACTATAAAGTGATAATAATCTAGATTTATTCTGATAAGAAAATATTCTTCTTTAATTAAATCAAAAATTCTGATTTTATCATTAAATTATTTTCACAAAGAATTTTTTTTATCAGAAGAAAAATTTCAAGTATTTTTGACAATTTAACAAATTATTATAAAAATATTTTAATGAATAAAAAAAAAATAATAATAATAACAATAATACTAATAATAATAAATAAATAATAATAATAATAATAATGAAAAATTTTACATTTAAATAGCATGTATGACAAGTAATTTGTCTCTATAGCAGAATAAGATAATTTTATAGCCAGCTCGATAATAGACTCATTTCGCTTTAAATAGTAATTTTACTCTAATTCTTAATCCAATATCCTTAAGGTATAGTTAGGTCATGGGAGTAAAATTTAAATAAGCCTTCCAAATTTATAATGTAAGTAATTAAATTCATAATGCACATGCTGTTAAAATTTGGAGACGATTTACCACTTCTAACCAAAGATAATTGCAATTGAAAATGACATTTTTACACAGGCGGTATGGAAAAGGAGAGAGAAAACCGCGAAATTTTATTATTTTTGTATTACTTAGATTATTTACTATTATTTCCGAAGATCGGTGTTTTCACTAAATAAAGAGTTCATATTTCAAAGCCATTATTCCTGATACAAATATTGATGTTTGACTAATTTTAATTTCCATTAAATTTTTATTTTATTTATTAAATTTATTTACACCACATTATTGTGGGTATGAGCACTCATACCGTCCTCGGGTGAATATATCTAATAATTAAAAAAAAAATTTTTTTTTTAATTAAGATCAACAAAGAGTTTATTTTATTTACTCAGTGAAACTTTATTCGATTACTGAAAAAATAACTCGGAAATTACTTAGATTAATTCATGAATAATTATCCTAAAAAATTCTGAAATTCCCTGGCACATAATTTTTGACAAAACGAGATACAAATAAAAAAAAAAAAAAAACAAAAACAAAAAAAAACAAAACTAATAAAAAACCCACTATCATTGATCATCGCGTTTATTTTATAAAATTCACTTCATTAAGGATAATAGCTTTTTAATGTTTCAAAGCTATTAAGTTGTTAAAGACTATATGTTTACTTATAAATTAACGATAATACAACAATTGGTATATTAGCTGTAATTGATAATAATTATTAAGGTAATTAAAAAGATATTAATGAGTGACTAGGTATCCGGTAATTGTGACATAAAACCTTCGAGCAGTAATTTTAAAAAACCACATCGTAAATTTGATAAGAAAAATTAATGTCTTTGTTCACTAATACCAGGCTATTAATTTATGAATAGTCACGTGAAATATAGATCAATGTTGCGCATGACAAAAAAACTAAAATTTATAAAAATTAATTTTTTTTAATTCAAGTAATAGCAATTTTTAAAAAAGTAATAATGAAAAATCTATTGTAAAATAATAAACAAAAAGCTTGGTGATAAATTCGACGAATTTTTTAGCCAGTCTCGCATATAAATTTGACCTGCGGCATTACATCAATGAAAAATAATCGGTCATTCACGACTCGTACCCAGAGGATACGTGATGAACGATAAAAAACAATTTTATTTATTTTTTTAAGTGTTTCAATGTGTTGCGACACATTAATAGAATCAAAGTAAAGTACTCGAGTAATTAATACCCGGTATTGGTGAATTATCTTGGTAGTTTTATAATAAAAATTAATATCTTGCTCGTTAACGCGAACTAATAGTCTTCTTGTTATTATTAGTTCTTTGTAGAATCTGCTGATAAATTTCAGGGTTCTAATCTACGTCTTTAATTATGTCATTATAGAATTAGTAATTGAAGTTCAGTCAATTAATTAATTAATTAATTAATTGATCTGTACTAATAAATGGAGAGCCGTTTTTTTTTGATCAGTTATACTGCGACAACTACTAAACTGATCAGAATAATGATTGCACATTGAAAATTATAATGAATATTAGCTAGAATAATTACATGGATAAAAAGATAGAATTTGAAATCTGTGCAAGTAAAAATAATCTATATTATTAAGAGAATAAGCAAAATTTTGTGGCCAGTGTATTGATATGATTTTCAAGGTTTCATATCATTGTCACCAATAGTCAATTTATGATGATAAGTATTTAGGCTGCATTCGAAGATGCTCTATTTCTAGATACATAATTAAAAAAATTACCTTGTATCTCGTGAACTATTGACATTTTTAAAGATATAAGCTCATCCCGATGTTACACTCATCAAGACCTTTCATTTAAATACCCACATCAATTTTTCATATATTTATATATTATATATTTGTATATATGAAAAATATATAAAAATGCATGTGGGTACTCAAATGAAAGCTCTTGATGAATGTAACATCGGGATGAGCTTATATCTTTAAAAACGTCAATATTTAAAAAAGTACAGTGCAATTTAACATAATTAAGTATTAAAAGAAGCAAAATTACCTTTATCTTGTGAAATAATGACATTTTTAAAGATATAAGCTCATCCTGATGTTACACTTATCGAGACCTTTCATTTAAGTACCCACATCAATTTTTCATATATTTATATATATTATATATTTGTATATATGAAAAATATATAAAAATGCATGTGGGTACTCAAATGAAAGCTCTTGATGAGTGTAACATCGGGATGAGCTTATATCTTTAAAAATGTCAATAGTTAAAAAAGTACAGTGCAATTCAACAAAAGTCATTATTTTATAAAGCAAAATTTTGCTTATTTATATGTTACAAGTCACGGCAGTCACATAGTGACTGCAAGGTTGCTAGTACTCGAATTGAATTTTAAATCTAGATCTAAAAATTCAATTCTATAAAGCGCCCTGCAGAGCGGGCGAATAATATAATAGCTAGTTAAAAATAAACCAACCGTGCTGTGACTTGGACAGATACTGGACTGGAGACAAGCTTCCATCGTCTTCTTCACTGTCGGTCATCACTACGTTGCTGTTGATGTTCCCAGTGTCGCGGTGTCCGGGGTAAACTGCACCCTGAAGATGATGATGCAGTCCGGAGAGACTCAGGTTTAAACAATTTGATGACAAAGGATTGCTGTTTTGGTGAGAGGGATAGTTTGCCGACGGAAGTGGCGGCATTAGTGGCCCGCAAGTTATGCTTCCGTCTCCACCGTGCATTCTCATGGGTAACCAGTTGTAAGCTGCACTGTACAAGCTTAATGGCATCGCGAACCCTGTAATTTATTTATTAAGTTAGTTAATAAGTTACATATGAGTCACTCAGAGTTATTGGTCTCCTTAAAATCGATTTCAACTGCGCTGATTAATTATTCATGTATCCTCGTTTCATTCACTTGAAATATAATTTTAATTCAATTATAAAACCAATAAATGTCATACCCAATGTTTTAGAGGAATTTAAAATAAATCTAGAGCAATTATCAGTCCTGTTAGATTAATATTGATGTATTTGAATTAATTATTTTAGTTGGGAAATTATTAGCTTGAATGTAACGATTTGTGATAGTTTTGGTCAATGAATAAAAGAATTATATATTTAAAAATGTGAAAAAATTTTTTCCATTGTAATACATGTCAATAAATTTAATTATCGTTTTTTTAAAAACTTTTTGAAGGCAATTCAAACTTTTTAAATACATTTGTCATTGTTATTTAAATTAAAGTTGGAAATTTTTTATCAGTACACAAAAAAATTAAGTTTTAAATTTAAAAATTCCAAAATTTCTTGTTTAATTTGAATTGATAAAAATTTATTACATAAAATTAACAGACTTTAAATAATTTAATAGTTTCTTCCAACAAATAAATTTAAAAAAAAATTCTTAGTGTAGAAATAATAAAAAAATATGAATTTAAATTTTGAAAAATATTCTATTGCTAATAAATTTCTTAAAAAAAAAAAATAATTGAAAATCATCACACATAAATTAACAGGCACTTAATAATTTTTTAGATTTTTATAACAAGTAAATTCATTTTTTTAAATTCTAAACATACAAATTTTAAAAAACAACGAATGGAATTTTTTAATAACAATTTTTTGTCATTAATTTATTTTATAAACAAAATAGCTGCCACTTAAAAGTGAGTGCAATTTAAAAGTCTGTTGATTTAAAAAAATTCCAGAACAAAAAAAGAATTCTGATACATAATTTCCAATACTAAAGTTAGCCGTTTAAAATTTTTTTTTATTTATTAAATTATAACTAAAAAACTATTTTTTAAAAATATTGCACTTTATAGTTTTCAATATTTTAACATTTTTTTTTATTTTGTAATAATTTTTTCAATAAAAAAAAATTCTATAAATTTTTGACATTGAAGTTAGCAGTCTGGACAATTTTTTAATTTTTTTAGAACAAATAAATTTGTTAGAAAAAATTATTATGAAAATAAATTTAGCAGATATTAAATAATTTTTAGAATTTTTTTTAACAAATAAATTATAGCAAAAAAAATTGACATGTAGAAATTAAAAAAAATGCAATTTTTTAAAAATAATTTTTTGGAACAAATTTATTTGTTAAAAAAATTTGTTTAATTCTCTAATGACTGCTAACTTTAATGTCATAAAATTTTAAAATGTCGGCTAACTATAAAAATCAAGTTAGCAGACATTTAAAAATTTTTAGAAATTTTTTCAATAAAAAATTTCAATTAAACAACTAAAAAAAAAAAAATTTCATATGTAAAAAACTTTAAAAACTCTAAGTGCAATTTTTTAAAAATATTTTTTTAGTTGTAATTTAATAAATAAAAAAAATTATAAATTTTTGAACGTCTGCTAACTTCAGTGTCATGGCTAACTTAATTAATTTTCATAAAAATTTACCTGGGAGAGCACTGGTGACAGTAGCAAGACACCGTTGCTGATAGAGAAACTCTCTTTCACGTTCAGCGTCATCAATTCCTTTACCGGATTTATTATTATTATTATTATTATTATTATTATTAGAATTATCCACATCATTGATAAACTGTCCTTTGTTACCAATCAAACTCTCAATAGTAAAAGGTTTAGGCGCGGGCCTCGGTGTGATTTCCAGAGAATCAGTTTCTTCATTAAAATTTTTTTTACCCTTCTCCATATTTATTTTTTTACAACAAAATTACACAGCACATTAAACTTCACTTGTTCACACGCACTAGAATATCCAAACTTTTATTATTCCACGAATTTTTATTGAAATTCTATCCCAGAGAAGAAAGAACCAAGAAAGAATAAAAAGTACACGATGTTACCGCCGGGATAGCTGACGGTTGACTGTCGCGATACATGCGCGAAATCCCCGCGTCGGATTACACAGTACACACAACAATGTAGCTTGTAGTAGGGATAGAATGAGAAAAACCCGCGTAGTAAGCTTACCCCCGGTAGAAATATATCGCGAGGCGTGGCCAAGGTCGTCGAGGAGGGATCGTTGATTGGACCAGTGTTAACCAACGGTATCATTGTTGTACCAACGGTGAATCGCAGTCGCCATCTTCGGAGAAGAGCTAGATCACTCAGGACAGAGGCTAAATTTTCCCTCACCTGAAAAATAATTATAATTATTATTATTAAGCCAGTCGATTAAATTCTCATTTTAGATTCACAATTACCTTGTCTTCTGTACATGTAATCACTAATGTAAGTCTAAGGTAATTTTATTCACATGTCCCTCTACTCGGCGATCGTTAAAATTTTTATGACCGCTTATGTCCAGGGTGTCGATAATTGACACCTTGCCAAAGACGCATCCATTATTCACTTTTTCTTTGGTAAGTAATTTTATTTACTCTATTACCTTTTTTACAATAATACTAAAAATAAATTTACCAGATATTTAATAATTTTTACAATTTTTTTTTCAAATAAATTATGGCAAAAAAATTAGAAAAAAAATATTGACATGTAGAAATTTTAAAAAATAAAAAGATATTTTTAAAAAATTACACTTATAGTTTTTCAAGTTTTTAACATGTGATATTTTTTTTTTAACTGTTTAATTGAAATTTTTTTGATAAAAAAATTTCTAAAAATTTTGAAATGTCAGCTAACTTCATTTTTATTAAAAAATGACACTGAAGTTATAGCGGACGTCTAAAAATTTTTGATTTTTTTTTTTAACTATTTAATTGAAATTTTTTGGATAAAAAAATTTCTAAAAATTTTGAAATGTCAGCTAACTTCACTTTCATAATAAAAAATGCAATTCTTTAAAAGTAATTTTTTTGAACAAATTTGTTGGTTAAAACAAATTAAAAAATCCTCTAGTGACTGCTAACTTTAATGTCAATTTAAAAAATTTTTTAAAAAAATAAATTACAATAAAAAAATACTTCTAAAAATTTTCACTTGTAATTTTTATTAATTTTCACTTGTGGAATTTTTTAATTAAATTTTTTTTATAGTAATTTAATTGCAATAAAATTCTAAAAAAATTTTTAACATCTGTAACTTCAGTGTCATTTTTTACACGCGGCTATAAGTATTAATATTTATAATTTAGACAGATGATTTATTTATTTATTTATTTTCTGTATTAACTTCATCTTTATTGTCTTGTTTTTTGTTTTTGTCTCGGCTGTCTCCTTTATTTATAACTGCACTTATGTACACACGGTTAAGAGATGTTGAATCTTGGCACGGGAAATTATTTTCTGGTTAATCTTTGGCTTCTGGGCTGGGCGGGTTAGGTCGTTAGGCTTCTTTTTAACCCTCGTTAAACATTAATTGGATAGTTACTTTATGATACTTTAATTAGAACGATCAATTTTCTATAGATAGTTTTTGAAAGTTATTTATAGATTTGTTATTTTTGGTTTTAAAACAGTTTTCATTTTTTTTTCTATTTAAGAAAATAGCTTTAAAAATAATATTTATAATTTTGTAATTAATTTATAAAAGTTTACTTTTATAAAAGAAACTTTTCTTCTTTCAAGAAAATTTTATTCTGCTTAAAATTATTGTCTAAATATTTTTTTAAGTCATGAAAATTTTATTGTTTATAAAAGAATTAATTTCTTCTTTGTAGATATTAAAAATTATGATAGTCAAAACATTAAACTATTTTTAGGAATTCTTTTTTTTTTTAAATAAATTACTAACTAAAAAAATTTATCTAAAAAATTGCATTGACACTTTTTAAAAATTTCCATTGATAAATTTTTATTACTAATTTATTTATTTCAAAGAACCAAATCAGGATATAGTAGACCAAATAATTTATGTTTTTCTTTTTATTTATTCCAATTTTGGAAATTTTAATAAATTGGAATAAATAAAAAGAAAAACATAAATTATTTCGTCAACTATATCCTGATTTGGTTCTTTGAAATTTTATAATATTTAGATCTGAGAAAATAAATATTATTTAAAAAATTTTAAAAATTATAAAATGTCTCTAAATATCAGTATCATTAAAAAATTAAGAATATTTAAATTGATCTAAATACTAATAAATTATTTTAAGAAGAAATTTTAATTTTAAAAACAATATCTTAAAAAATTTAAACAATTACAAAAATCTTCAACTTTAATCTCATTCAAATTAAAATGAGAAAAATACAGTGTAATAAATCACTAATGCGATATAAAAAAAAAAATTGTACTTGTACTTTATCAATTTTTTTATAATTGTATTTCTAAAAGCCTGTAATTGGTCTTATAGCCGTTGGGTTGTATATAAATAAATAAATTATAAAAATTTTCACGTTAATAAAATCACTAGAATAATTTTTTTATGATTTTTAAAAATAAAAAACCTATTTAAAAAGAAAAAAAAATACCCTAAATAAAAAATATAATTTTTCTATTTATAATACTTGAACTTTAAGGCTTGAATAAGCACCAATAAATAATGTAAAAAAACATAACAGATAGTACTAATACGTTATTCCGTTTTAATAACTATTGTTTACCCTTTGAATACTGACACGTTAACCTATCACCTATAGACTTTTTATTTTCACAGCAAGCTAAACCTAGTTAGCGTAAAAGTTGACTAACAAATAAAACATCAGTTGTACACACTCATATTACAAAAGTAAATAAAGAAGAAAATAAAATAAAAGAGTGAAAATTCTTAAAAGTAATTTTTGCTCATCGATCCTTGAATTCTGGAACAAGAAATAAATGGAGGAACGGCGAGTACTAAATCTCTTCACGCTCGGCGATCTCGTACTCTAATCTTGACACACGAAGAAATTATATATTCTTGTTCTTAGGACCCACACCAATTCAGCTCCTATTCAGGGAGTACATAGTCTACATTACTTAAATACTAAGTATCATGTGTAAGTGGTTACGCACGTGCAGAAGTCCTTCTAATAAAAAAAATTATTTTTTTTAATTGCTCAGAGTTTTATGGACCCTGGCAAGTTTATGTACATTCACGCGTCAGCGGCTCTTTAGATCTTTTTTGTAACATTTTTTTTGTTTATTATTTTTCCGATTGTTTCAATGTTTGTCTTCTCTAGTTTGGATAGTTTTCTTCCTATAGAAAGAAAATAAATTAGCATAAATTATACTAATCGATCGTTTCAAAAAGTAAAGCGGACATCATCGGGGTGGCCAAAATATAAATATTACAGAACTTAATGTAGATATTGTAAAAGCCACAATTTATAATTTAATATCCAAAATAAGTGATTAGTAGCTGTTATTATAATATAAATAACGACTCTTTCATCTTAAAAAATTACAGTTTCAAACAGTAAAAATTGCCGTTTCAATATACATATAGTCTATACTATACACTGAAAAAAAAATTAACTTGATTCAAGAAAAAAATTCTTGAACCTAAAATATATAATTTTGAAGAGGGAAATTGTCTTTATTTTATTTTTATTCAAAAAACAAACCCAACAGCCTAAGCCATTAAAAGAGTTAATAGATACATTAGTTATAAATTTTTATATAATAAAAATAAAACAAGACGACTTAGCTATATTGCAATACAATGTGTGTTATTATTGAGCTAAGTTCCGCTGATTACAAAAACAAAAAATAAACAATAATTTAGTGTTGTCTTGAATCAAGTCGAAAAATTCTTGAATCAAGTAAAATTTCTTTAAATCAAGAATTTTTCTACTCAAATCAAGAATATTAAGTTCTCCAAAATTTTATACTTGTTTCAAGAACATTTTTTTTTCTATGTATGAGAAGAAGAGGAAGGTCTCACACTCGGAGAATTTATTAAATAGTAAATTTTATTGTTTCAAATGAAACTGTAAAAATTGTACTCTTAAAATATATATTTTACCAGTCCAAGCAAATCAATAATTATTGTTTGATTTTTAGCGTAATTGCATTTAAAATTTACCATTTGTACTTTGTAAATATTAACGTTGCTTCATGCGATCATGCGATCAGTTTTTAGGTAACAAAATAATAAATATCAAAGTCAAAATTCTTAATTATTATACTTTTACATTTTGAACTTTCACATAGCGAATATTACTGTTTGAAATAGTATTTTCTTCCATGAAAATAATAAATTGCAACATTTAAATGATAAATATTATAAAGTGATTATTAAAATCACGATTTTACTGTTTGAAATGGTAATTTTTTCAGTTAATCATCACTTATTATCACTGACAGAAGGATTTGTTAAAAAGATTTATTAATATTTAATAAATGAATATCAGATTTATTATAAATACAAACAAATAATTTTAAATACTAAGAAATATTTGTTTAATACTAAAAAGTAGTCTCTAATAAATGATTTGTTAACTATTACCAAATATTTTGTAAAAAAAATAATCTTTTTCTATCAGTGTATAAGTCGACTATTATTTATTACAGTTTACTTTTTTCCGTTTAGTTTTCTTCTATAGACAAAAAAAATATTGCAAATGTAAATCATACTTATCATAAATTATTCTAATCGACCTTGGGTCTAGTTTAATAATTAATTAAACAATTGTGTTTAAATATTTAACAAAAAACAATAAAGTTTTTATGTAGGCGCGCATATGCGTGAAGAAATATATACATAAAACTATTGCGTGCGCCGGCATATTTTGCGAAATAGAATTTAGCGAATATTAAAGCACATGTGTAATCATAATCATATATATAAATATAAAACATGCTGGC